TTATTTTATTATTACAATTTCTAACAAAAAGTGTCTTTGATGAGAGAAATCCCATTCACATATTATTCACAAGGTATGCTTTGTAATTCCCTTGGCTCTAATAAGATGATAAATCCTCGAAAAAAAGGATCAAAACTGTTGTTCACTCTATAAAAAGCTTAAGAAATTGGACAATTTATCACCTCCAGTTTCTCACCTTATGGCATTGTACACCAGGATAGGATGATATAACTGTTGGGCGTTTTCAGCGTGTTGAGTTACTATTCAAACAATTATCTGGAAGGAGGATGTAAAGATGTTGTCTACAATCAGACAAAACTCTTTTCAAATAAGTTTTATCTAAAAAATGGTTAGTTGGAGGTGTCAGGGTAGAGATGGTCAACTTTGAGGTCAGAAATGTTTGACGGGTAACTATTGTTGTATGCAATAGGTAAAGGACACACCTGAAGGCAAAGGGCTGTTTAACAAGGCTTCACAGCTAAGAGAAAATGAATAAGACAATGCATTGATCATTTAAAACAAATGTTGCGAAAATCTGCAACAGAAAAAGTAAATAAAGGCTTGTTTCTATAAGGTCATTAAAAAGCTGCCAGTCACTCACACGGTGAACAAAAAGGTAGAAAATTGGATGGAAATATGTCAATACCGTTTGTATAATATTATTTGTAAGGTAGATGACATCGGATCTGTGTGGACGGAGGAGGAGAAGTTCTGTTTTGCTATTATTTTCCTTCTCTTAAGCGGAGCAGAAGACTCAATGGACGGTTAATCACATGCTTGATGTGCATCATTATTTATTCGCTTGGTTAGTTTGCATTGCACTTTGCCCCATGTTGCTTTTATTATTTGTTACCTAAGACACGTGTAAACCTTCTTCGTAACATTTCAAGATTTCTTTGCCATTTCCACTCAGGTTTTTTATATGCATAGTAACAAATGTGCATTTTAACAGGTGGATGGATGATCTTTGAGTTTACCGGAAGGTGTTTACTGTAGTTCAGAGTGAAGTGTGACTTTCTTTTGATCTGAGTTGTTATCTTGGTTACCAGCGGTTTAATGCAGGAAATAAACTAATGGAATCCTTTGCAAGATTTATTTTATTTTAATGCTAAAAGTTATACAGAGTGCAAAAAAAGGGTTACATATCCCTGGAGGGACTGCCGTAGTGTTAGTATCTTTAATTGAAACAATAAACTTGCAAATGCAGATAAAAGGAATAGTTTAAGAGCTGTTAAAATCAGCAGCCAGCTCCACCCTATCTCTATTATTCATCTGTATTTCCCAGGAAGCATCCAGCTCTCTGTGTGATGCTGCTGCCCTGGACAGAAGTGAACGTGTGTCTTTAGCGCTCCTGTCAGACTAGGTCGGGCAGCAAGGTCAACAGCAGAGGCCGACCCCGCGGTGTTGATGTTTAGTGAGCAAGATGTTCCTCCTCTGCAACACATAGATGAAAAATGCACATGAGAGAAAAAGGGAAAAGACCACTTCTCTTGAAGCGCACTCCTTCTGGCAAAGAGTCAAGGGCAAGCTGCCAAGGTACTACTTTTCACTTTCCTGACATGAGGCTGAGGCAGGAAAGGGGAGGGAGGGGCAGAGAAGGGGTGCGTGCGTCAGCAGGTCCGCCTGGGACTCCCTTGCCAGGAGGTGGGAAGAGCATGTGGTTCTTATCTTATCTCTGGGAGGGCTTGGAGCACAGCGTCCAACACTGACATTTAGTGAGCGGCGAAGAAGAAAGAAGACTGAAGATGAAACGCTTTGACTCCTCTACCACTGCTCACCTGATTTATTCATCGAGCCTGCACTGGTAAACTTGGGTATGTGTTTGTAAGTATGCAGGTGAACACACACACATATACAGTATATGTATATACAAACGTCACATTCCACAGCAGCCAATGAGGTAACCAGATGCTAAATCAATATTTTCAATCAGTGAAAAGGTGTCAAATCAAGCAAACTTTGTTTCACTATGGACTTTAACTGCCATCCCATCACTACAAGAGAAACGCCCCCGCATGGCGAAAACAAACACTTCTGCACGAACACGCAAGCTCACACCTCACACTCTAGAGAGAGAGTGAGAGAGATTTCCATGGAAATGTAATTTGCATTATTTCCACTTCCATGGTCCAGGTCAGTTAGACGTAAAGGGTAAGGGCTATAAATGGCAAACTGAGATGTAGATAAGGCATGCCCCTTGATCCACGGCCTAATAGTGCAATCACACAGGCAAGCAGCTACTCTTTAAACTGCAGTTACAGACACATATCAGGTCAACCTTCACCTTCAAATCAAGTTCTAAACTTTCTGGCGCCTTCCCTCCACGACAGCCAGAGGTGGAAGATCACGCAGCCTACCACAGCAAAGCTGGAGCCGCCGCCTCAGAGTTAACATCTCATCTGAACTGGTGGTTTGATGTAGCACTGCCTCTGTTCCCCCCCAAGAGCCACATCAGTGATGAGGGGTCATGTTCCCCGCTCCACATCTGGACTGATGCTGAACTCTACAGCCGCTGTGCAGAGGGGCCAATGGGGAACCGGTAATGAGAACCCCAGATCTGTGCGTCTTCTCCAGTGCCCTGCTCTTTTATTAGCCTTGACACGAGGACAAGTTGTAAAGAAATCTACATGTATGTGGCCTTTTCCCATCCCCTCAGATACCAACCCACGACAAGCTACAGGGGGTCAACGGACGCCAATGCAATGAGTATGTCATCTGTTTCTCTGCTCAGATCGCACACGTGCCCTGGCCCTGATCCAGTCCGGCGCAGATCCTGATATAAAAAATGTATTCTAACTGCATCACAAGTTCATTTTCTTTGGCTTGAATTTCCTGAGGGTTTAAATAAACACGGAAGACAGATCACAAAAAGAGAACATTTGGCTTGTGCTCAGCTCGGTCTGGAATTATTTAGACATTCAAATTCCATTCAAGCTTTAATTTTCATATTAATTAATCATATCAAGTAATATATGCATTTTTATGTTGAGTGTGTCTATATGAGTCCTCACTTTGAGAGAAAGGCATGTGCTGGGGAAGGAAATGTCCAGCGTGAGCACTTCCTGCTCAACAATGAAGCCTCCTTCACTGAGTTAAGCAATTCGTCGACAACCAATTGGGTTTGAAAATGCCTGAGAGATCACATTAAGGCTGACCCAGTCTGACTTCTGCTCTGACGCAACCATTAACATCCCTGCACGCAAACATGCACACGCTTATATGTTTTCCCGCAGCGTGAGACTTCAAACATTTTTAAAGGTCCCAGGACTGAATCTCTGCTTAGAATTACATTAGCGACCACAATGTAAAGGAGCCAACACGTTGTCTTTCAAACTGTTAAGACAGTCCAGCAACCAGTTGCATTTCAGAACAGACAAGCAATGATAGGAGGATAAACATGTCAGCAGTTGCTGGAATACAAAACAGCAGTAATGGGTGTTAGTTACATTTAAAGTGATCTAAATGTCTAGAAAGCATCCTATATAAAAGAAAAATATGTTCTTGAGTTAAAAAAATAAAACATTGGATAATGTAGCCTATAATCAAATTACTCCGTGAGCAATCACATTGAAACATGCAGTGAGAAGGCAAACAGTGTGTCGAATTAATCCTACCTTTAATCTAGATTAATTGACAGCTGTACAGTAAAACATGACATCATAAATGTGAGCTATGATACTCACACATGATGACAATTATAGGCAAAGTGAAAGCAGGCATGTCGAATTTTTCTCTTCACGACATATTTATGAATGACTTTTTTGTAGTTAATTTGTTTTTTAAGACAGTCTAATGTTTAGTCAGCTGCAGCCACCAACCTTTGTTTGCAAATTCTAAAAGTGTTGAAGCTTTGTAAAATCTCAAGTCTGTGTACTTTTTTGGTCAGTTTAAGGGCGGGATACTTGCATACAATACCTCAATAATACATTCCATGACTGCAGTTCACTGCTGTGTGGGTATTTTGGCATCTTTCAGTATCCCAAGCCCCAAACGGCTAACTTGTCATTACAGGGTTGCCACAAAAGGTCACTTGAGGTGCCAGTTAAACAACCAGATCCACGAGTTATTCATATTGCACACAGTCAGTGTAAATGTGCCATCAAAAAAATATATAAATCACAATAATTCCTAAAGTAGAAGTTCCCACATTTATATTACACTGATTACCAATACTCAATTAATGCCAACATATGCAGCATGGACTGCAAATGTGCCACTGAGTAGCACAACTTCTAAGTGAATATTCTATGGGAAACATTTTATAAAGAATTACAGATGCATTCACTAAACTTTCTGCAATTTTTGTATCAAACTGGCAGCAATGTATCAATGTATTTAATATTTTTTCCCGATGAAAATAAGGTTAAATTGTGAAGAACAACTATAAAAGAATTAAGAAAATAAGCAAAACAACTGATATAAAGCCATAATACATGTTAATAGGACGTCTAGCACAGCTATAATATGACATGAGAACAAATATTAGTATAATTGTAATATACGTAGCTTTGGGAACACCGCATTAAATATTTAAACATGTTGGTAAGTATGAATATAATAATGAATACGATCATACTTCCTAAACTCATATTTCTACATGCTATTTTCCTCGAACTGTTTTTACTGTACACTTTCTATAGCCAACACTCCGGTGCTAGCTTTGGACTTCGCCTGGCTTTCTGATGCCATGTCTTATTGCAGGTCGCTGACGGTCCCCTGCATGAGCAAGATACCCGAGAGGGGATTCATAAACCCGGGATATATTTTTATTTTAAAAAGACTGTAGCGATGATCAATGCTGAATGCTCCCCGTCCAATAAAGTCCCCACTCATCTAGATCTGCTATCAATCTGTCATTCATAAAGTTGTGAACACACATGGGCAAATAACGTACTCCTGCAGTACTACAATTATGTGCTTTCGCAGTGTTACTGAACATCACAGCTTGTTATATTTTTGCGTATATTTAAGTTTGATTAACAAAAATAAAGAAGACCTACTTGCACCCAGGAAACAGTCCGTCAACCTTCTAAAACAGCTTGTTGAAGACGGGCCATCTTCCATGTCGGACTGTGAGCGCAAAAGGAGAGAGGAGCCCCGGAGAAAAGTGCGCCTCTGCAGCTGCAACTTGGTGCGTCTCGGCGAAAACCCAAACTATTCCAGTCCTCGTTGAGGTGATGGGTGTCCTCAATGCTTCAGGCTGTGCACGGTTTAGGAAGGGCAAGAAGAGCAGTGTGCTGCCCCCCCTCCACCAGCGCTATGACCCAGCACCGCTGGCCGAGGTGTAGCTACAGTCGGCCCGCCTCCTCCGCTGTGGATGTGCAGCAGCAGACTGGAGGAGCCGAGCCGACGACGTATAGACAGAGAGAGAGAGGGGAGAGAGAGAGAAAGAGGAGAGAGAGAGAGAGAGAAAGAGAGAGAGAGAGAGAGAGAGAGAGAGAGGGGGGGGAGGGAATGGGAGGGGAGGGGGGAGAGAGAGAGAGGGGGAGAGAGAGAGTCACACACACACACACACACACACACACACACACACACACACACACACACACACACACACACACACACACACACACACACACACACACACACACACACACACACACACACACACACACCACACACACACAGAGAGAGAGAGAGAGGGAAAGCCAATAGAGCGCCAAGCAGTGTTTAGCTCGACTTCCGCTTTGGGTTTCAAAATAAAAGCCTGCATGATTGTGTAGCCTTGAAACAAACCGAAAATGACAATAGGCGCTTTCACACCGGAGTACTTTTCCCAGTATAGTTCCGATAGTTCTTGAAATGTTGCGTTCACACCAAAAAAATCCGGAACTAGAACTTAGTTCATGAAAACCTTTTCACCCCCTTTTTAGTCCCTGCTAGAGAGCAGGTACTTTCCTGGGAGAAAAAGGTTCCCATTTCTGATTGGCTGGGCGAATTGCAAACCACGCCCCGTAAAACTCCGAAAAGTTTTGTGAAGCCGCCATTGTATTTGCTGGCATTAGCATTATTAGCATTAGCATTAGCCCAGCGCACCAACAGAGAGAGACTAACTTATGGCAACACAAAAAAAACATGGGAGCGGTGGAGTGATGAGGAGGTGTCGGCGTTCTGGCGATTTACTCGGAAGGCTTCAGTAGAAGCTGCTGGGAGTCCCAGCAGCTTCTACTGAAGCCAGTCCCCAACTCCGGGGACTTCCGGTGTAGGTACCAGGGGTGTTTCTCAATGTCGAGTACGCTTGCTTGGTAGCACATGTCTTCCGAGTCACTTGCTTCAGAAGCGAGGCAAGAATACTTCCTGGCATTCGGAAAACGAAGAGTGGAACAGACGAGCAAGTGTGCAGGTGTGCGTCATATGAGAGGCCCCGCCTAACATTTTCCGCCACAGATTTGGGGAAATTGGTACGTGCGCAAAGCATTGTGGGGATTTTAAGACCGCGGAGTCTACAGCCTCGAAATTTCTCGCTACGAAGTACGCAGGGCTTGGTATAATTCCAAGTATGCTGGACATTGGAACAGTCCTTCGGCGGCACTCGATGACGTAGTATGCTTGAAATAGTGGATCTGGAGCAGCTTTACTCGACATTGAGAAACACCCCAGATGTGCACGGCCTACCAGATCAGCCCGGGGTCCGTGACTCTTACCAATTGACGTCACGCATTGGCTGTACGGCAACCAAAGAGGACATTTTACACGGCCAAATTCCGCAAAGAATATTAAAAAATAACAATCGACAGTGAATGTATGTTAGTGGACTGTGTCAGGAAAGTGAAGTGTTAATTAAGGAATGTTAATGAAGAACTGAAATGCATAAAATAGAAAGTTAATATGTAGCACATCCCTCCGAAATATGGTCGTAGACTTTACTGATGATTTAGAATTTATCCAGACTCAACGTAAGAGCTTGTGCCTCTTCGGGGGGTGCTAACATTTAAACATACACTTTATTCTTTACTTTCTCCGTCTTTATATGTAGAAGATATAACTTTTCTCTGTCATGTTGTTTCCATAGCAACAACAACTTCCTGTCAACAGCGTAAACTCGCCTTCAAAAATAAAAGCATCTAAATAAAACAGGAAGTTAACCTAAATTACATTTAAGACACTGCGTAATATCCTTTTCAGTTTCACAGAACACAAATTGGGTTATTTACATAATATGTTTACATGATTTTGGAGGGATATGCTACATATTAACTTTCTATTTTATGCATTTCAGTTCTTCATTAACATTCCTTAATTAACAGTTCACTTTCCTGACACATTTCCACTAACATACATTCACTGTCGATTGTTATTTTTTAATATTCTTTGCGGAATTTGGCCACGTAAAATGTCCTCTTGGGTTGCCGTACAGCCAATGCGTGACATCATTGGTAAGCGTAACGGACCCCGGGCTGATCTGGTAGGCCGTGCACATCTGGTACCTACACCGGCCGGGGACTTCGGGTGGCAGTCAAGCCCCCAGGAAGTGCGCCGGACTCTGATGAAAATATTCGTTGTGTCCAAACGGCGGTACTACAATTTCCGTATCAGTCCGTGACGTCATTGGGCCCAGAAAGACTTTTCCCCATTGACTAACATTGGGAAAGAAACGTCTGTAAATCAGCGGATAATTTTTTTTAAACTAAATAAACTACCCAGTATGTAGTGATGTTACGTATTGTGCCGAGGCTTCGGAGCGTGTGTCGAGTAATCCACACATCTATTGGCTCTAACGGTTCAAAAGAGATGTCAATCATCAAAATCGACCAATGGGTTCCAGAGAAACGGCAAAAACGCCCATTTCCACCCAAATGACCCCAGAGGTGGAGTTTTTTTTGCTAAACCTCTCTAAAAAGGTAAAATGTCACTTATTTTGCATCAATCTTGATACAGGGTACTTATTATATGTTGTACATTGGATTCCTAAAGCTTTTAGTCTACTAACCCATCATCCAAGGGTAGTTTTCACTATAAGTAAAAAAGAATGGACGGACACTATAATTTACAGTTTTTTTTCAATCTGAATTTTCTTTAAAATAAAAAACATCTATATTGATTCTAACTTTTCTACATCCAACTCACAGGTTTATCATTACTTTGAGAAAAAAGATTATTAATTTTCCCCTTTTAGAAGTGTAGTTATGGTCATTTGTTCTGGAAATGTCATTTTCGAGCCTGAGACCTGAAAAACAGGCTTGGGGCTAACATGAAAATATTAGTTTATGTTCGTTGTCTAGAGTTATTCTAAGGCTTTACTCATTGGGAACTCGGTATGAGATAGAGAGGCGAAGTCCCGCCCTTCTACTTCCGCCCCATGGGACCTTATTTTGGAAAAATTATGTATTGAAGTCAATGGGGAGAGAAAACGTATCTTTCGATCCTGTTTGAATTGTGCCACGAATTACTATGATGTTTGTCAATCTTAAAAAATGATTTCCATGTCAAAAAAGTCACAGTTTATCGTAAAACTGTTGAAATATAAGACTATGAAAAAAATACGCAACTACAGTAGAAAGACTACAAATCCCAGAATCCCGGTCCCGCATGCTGGCTCTTACGGAACCGACTAACTCCCCTTTTGTGTATGTACAGCTCTCAACATGCCCAGACTTGTAGTGATTTTCACCTTGTTTAATACTTTTCGCCTCGTTCTGAAATAAAGAACTGAAATGTGCTAACGTGACGGCCGTCTTGGTGTGTGGTGCGAGACAGGAGATGTAGTTAATTGAGCGGTTTCACACAAAAAAAAGTGTTACTTCACAGTTTTACGACACATTTTTATTTTTTTGACTTGCAAAATTATCTTTTAAATTGACAAACATCATATGTGTAATTCGTGGCACAATTCAAACGGAATCGAAAGATAATCTTTCTCTCCCCATTGACTTCAATACATAATTTTTCCGAAATAAGGTCCCATGGAGCTCCCCCGGAAAGGGAGGGACTTCGCCTCTCTATGCCAGTGGGCTCTCCAGAGACTCGCTGCTGTTTCCTGGTCCATGGTCAGTGGTCAAGGAGGAGACGGCGACAACTTCTAAAGGTACAGCATGGCACTGGCAGTAACTTAATGGAGCATTAATTTCCGCATGCAATAACTGAGGTCCAGCACAGATTGTAAGTATCTTGCTGATGTGCAGGCGTGCCATTTAGCAAGGCACTGAATTGTTTCCAAGTGCTGCCCCTGACCTATGACCTCCTCAAAAACAGGGCTTCATCTGCAGAATTGGGTTGGGTACTACCAAACCAAATGTAATAAATGGCTTGTGTAGAATAAGGCTACCATCATCCAGAACAGTCAAACACAGTCAGACAAAAAGAGATCTGTCGGCTAAAATGAATGGCAAACATTTTAACACACGTTCATTGCTGTGCATCCTTATAAAGCATATTCAATGTACAGAAAACACAAACCATGTGTGTACATGTGAGAGTGAGATAACAAGCGGGGTCAGTCCAAAGTTTAGACTCTAAACATCAGCAGTCTAATTCCTTTCTTATCTGTCTTGAGATTTTAAACAAGGTTATTTTTTCTGAGGCAAATAAGATTAGTCGTTCTGCCTTTTTAGGGATCACTGTTGATATTTCAGCTCCTGACTTCCAATATCTGCAGAGACTCGCATTTACTAAAGGAATATATTCACTTTATTTTACCAGGAGTTCATTTACATAAATTGTAATTGTAAAAATCGCCTTGAATTGGCACAAAATAATAATCAGTGTTGATGAATCAATTAGCAAAAGACTAACTTCTGCAAAAGCTGCACATCTGCAGTGTAACTGAAATGTTATAATCCCATACTAATAATATCCAATCCCATAATGATAAAAATAAACCAATTAACCTCTAATCAGGTCAGCCACGAACATTTTACATTCATCACTGACTGGAGAAGACAATCTGGTGAATAAACAATGGGAGCAGAATACATAAAAGCACAATTATAAGAATGCTGAATTAATTTGGTCTCTACAATTGTAAGATTATAAAATGCTGCAGTTGAGACAGAACTTCTCTTCTTCTTCTTTTTTGTTACTTTCAGAATCAAGTGTTAGTCAGAGGATTTCCTGTATCAGTTTGAGCTGTCTCTGACGTCTATAAGGCCACACTAAGTTCCTGTTAACTGTAGAAATGTGCCTTAAAGCTAGCCAACAATGTTTATATTTCCACTAATAATATCCATGTAGAAAAGAGACGCATAATTCATTCACAGAGAGCAGAACAATCCTGACGTGAAGCAAATGTTGTGCCATAAATTGCAAAAGTAAACATAACATACAGCAAACTTGGATCGATTAACATAATCTTGCATGACATCTAAAACTGTAAGCAAGTATTAACTTGCTGTAAATGATTCCTGTTAAA